TTAAAACTGATTTCTTTTTCTGTAGTAACACATGAAAAGTCACTCATAATTCAGATATGAACCAGAAATGAGCCTATCTAGTCAGTTGATGCAGAAGTAATCATCATTTTATGAAAATTTAGAGCCATTTTAACAGAATGAAGGGGAAAACACCAATCTATTAATATCAGGCCGGAGCTAACTAGATGGATAACTTTAGCCCACATGGATTTTTTTCACTCCCAACTCTCCGAGAACCTTAGAGAAACCCAAAGCTGATAAGATAGACCGGCTCTTCCCTCCACCCCCGTGGTCCTGCTGTCTAGGAGGCTCACTGGCTGAGTACTATCTTAAGGATCTGAACAGAGAGTGCAATAAAACAGACCTTCCTATACAGGAAGCTAAGTCTTTTTTGAAGAAAGAATTCTCCTCCTACAGATGAGAATCACCATGGAGAATCAGTCCCTCGCATGAGAGGATTTGGAGCAGTTGTTCCTGGCTACACAATGACAGGATTTCTTCTCCTGAGCATAACATTGGGAGATGCTATTGAGCTGAGTCATATTTCAACTTAAACAGAACTGTTCCATAGTTTACTTTATTTTGTGCGTGTGCATGCATGTGTGGGGTGTGTGTGTGTGTATGTGTGTGTGTGTGTGTGTGTGTGTGTGTGTGTGTGTGTGTGTGTGTGTGTGTGTATGTCTGTAGGGGTGTACTTATGTGTGAAGATCTGCATGTGTGTGTGTGTGTGTGTGTGCACATGCAAGGCCAGACAGAGCTTGACACTGATTGTCTTCCTCAGTCACTTACTGCTTTACCTTTTGAGGCAGGCTCTTTCACTGAAGCCGGAGCTCACCTATTCAGTTTGATTGCCTGGCCAGTGAGCCCCTGGGATCTACTCATCTCCACCTTCCCTGTCCTGAGATTGCAGGCAACTGCTGTTGTGCTCAGGTGTTTTGTTTTTTTTTTTTTAATTTGCTTGCTGTGGATCAAACTCAGATATTCATGTTTCTATAGCAAGCCGTTTACCAACTGACTTATCTCCCAGTCTCTAACAGACTCTTCCACTTGATGATTCTTGTGGGATTTGTCACCATAGGAAGGACTATGATTGAAAGTGTCTCAGGAGAAGCACAACACTGATGATTCTGAGGGTGAAATGTGGTGGCATTTTACACATAGTTTAACCAATTTTGCATCCACATTATTCAATAGTTAACCTTTTTCCCCCCTGTGGCATTTTAAATACGACTATATTGGATTACAAAATAGCACTCCCTCAAATTCTATTATTAGAATCCAGTAGTAGGTGGAGACTTTTTTTTCTGCCAAGTAAACTGGTGCTAAAACTCCCAAACTGTACAGAGCTATGACAGATTCATAGGGCACAATGACTTTGATATTTTAAATGATACTGTGAGAAGGGAGTTGCTTTTATGTTTAGTGGGTGTATTAGCTTTCAAATTAAAAGAGCCAAGTGATTGCTTTCCTGTAAACAGAAAAAGTATTCATTTCATACATATTCAAATCAGACCACCTTTTCTCCCCTGATACCAAGGAGAGATAGATGTTCTTGGCCTTTTTTCTCTCAATAAGGATCATTTGAGTCAGTTGAGATCTCCTCCCATTTTTCTTTCACTGAACTTCCAATTATAACCAAGAAGAAGTTAGGCACCTATGTAAAAAGATGTGGAGCTGTGTGTATTAACAGATCCACAGCAAATATTCACACACACAGCACTCAATCTTGAGGGTTCAGGGACTTGCTATGGTGCCACCTACCACGTTAGCACCCAGAAGGACGAGACAGGAGGATTGTGAAGTTGAGGCAAGTCTGGACTAGGTTATGTAACGAGATTGTTTCTCTCCCCCATTTAAAAATAACTGGACTTAAATTTCCCCTCCCAGGTAGGACTGACTTAGGTGAAAATCTAGGTAAAATGTTGAAAAAAATCAAAGGGATGAGAGTACAACCTAACTTTTGATAGTGCCACATGATATGGTCACTCAAAAAGTTCAAGTTTGAAATGTACTCAATCAAGTTCTAACACACACACGTACACACACACACCCTCACAAAAGTTCTCATACAATGCTTGAGTGGTTTACATTTTGTATTTGTTTATAGCTATCCTTGGGCAAGTGTGCCCAGCAGGCTGCAGGTTGGATAGAAAGTTGAAAATTCTGTGTAGCAGAGAAAACTGGTGAGATTCAGGAAGAGGTCCAGCTCCTCATATTGACCTGAGGAATCTTAAAAATCTAAGTTCAGAGCTGATTTTTGAAGAGTAGCTTTGATGGAGGTGAGGGAAATGAGCACACTGATTAGGAATCCTTAGAGACTGTAGTGATGACACAGGGAATATAAACAGATGACTCCAAATGCCAGACAACCCCCAACAGTTGTCAAATTCAGACAACTGCAGGGTCTACAGACAGACAGACACACACACACACACACACAAGCTCAGCTAAAATGCCTGAAAATGAAAAGCAAAACAGAACACAAAACAGACTAGATTATCTACATTCCCACAGTTTTGAGAATGAAACATTTAAAATATTAGTGTTCAAGACCTGCTAAGAGAAAGGGCCCGGTGACGAAATTGACTAAAATGCATATCATCCTAGGTATCAAATCTAGCCCACCTTTAATTTTATGTTACCTAAGAGTAAAGTTTATATATTTTAAATAGTCAAGGAAAAAGAGTAAGATTATTTTGTTCCATGAAGGCATACAAAATTACATTTCTGTATCTACAAGTAAGGATTTCTAGGAACATAATCATGACCTTCATATGTTTACTTTGACTGCTGAAGTCAAATGAGTAGGTGCGAAGATGCTGGGGTGACCTTTGAAGCCTAAAATACGTACTATCTGGCTGCTTTCAGACAGTGTTTGCCAAGCTGCACTAGGCTGTTAGTTGAAAACCCTGGCACACAAATACCCAGAGAATGAAGACAAACCAGAGATGGACTGTGTCTCACAGAGCACGATCCAACTTCTGATTGGCTCCATTCTAGATTGGATTAAAGCAACTGACAGTGACTTTCTCTGCCTGGCAGAGGAAGGGGGTGTCTCAGTTGGAGAAAGCTATCACCGTGTCGAAGACCTACAGTTTTTTATACATATTTTACACATTCTAGAATTCAGAACATTACTATATCAACTTCGTGTGTCTGAACTGATTGTGATGCACAATTGACTTAATCAGCATCCTCCAAAGCAATCAGTTAACATTTTACACACTCAGTAGTAATTCATGTTATTTAAAGAAGAGAAAAATAAAACAAAAGAAAAAGTATTACCCCAAAGCACTTTTCTTGGCAAGAAAACATAAGTTGTGTGTCCAGAATAGCAGCATTCAAATGAAATAAATGTGACTTTTATTGTCCAGCATCCCAGTCTATGAATTACTTTGTAGAAAATGAAGACAAACAGTAACTGACCAGCACTGAGACACTCTGACCAAGTGGTCTCTAGACCTCATTTTTCAGTGACATACAATTTTAAGCATTAACATTGTATTTGAACCTCTACCGTTCAGATAACACAGATAAATATAGATGTTCAAACAATTAACAGTGGAATATTGTAAAATGCACAATATTGTTTGTACATGTCTCCTAGGATGCAGAGTAAATGAAAAGGACAACTCAAAGGGGCCAGAAAGCTGAGAAATGCAGTATTCATAACTTAAAATTGTTAGATTCATTTTAATGAGAATATACTAAGATTACACATCTATGACAAAATAAATTGTAACTCTTTGATATAACACATAAGGTAATTTTAATTTACAGCCTATCACAGGTTTGCAATACATGTCTTAGTGATGTCAATTTGATATAACCTAAGTGTGCTAAAAAGCCAGATTGTATACTAATTCTATAGGCTACATCCATACACAGTTATGTTCTGAAACAGTAATCAGATACAACTATAAAAAGAAAGTTAAATATAGATTTGATTACATTGATTATATATACATTTATCTATACATAAAACTGAATTTTCTAATTTTTAATTTAACTTGGTAGTATATTTATCCTGCTTTTATATAGGAACCTCAAAACATTATTTCAGGAAGTTAGAGTTATTGTTAAAGGAAAAGAGCTCTTAGAATTAGAGGGATTTTTTTAGTAACTTAAAATGAACTTTGAAAAAGTTTAAATATTCTCCATCACTCTTGTCAACTTTATGTGCCCATCAGTGATATATGCTTCCATACAGGCTTTAAAAGTTTGATCAGAAGAAGGCTGTGAATATGGTCAAATAATAAGCCACTAGAAAGCTACTATTTAATTTAAACAAATGGTAAGAACTCATTTTAACATTAACCAAATATTTTTTAGAAATTACAAGAATCCTCAATTACAGACTTCATCTATGTAATTTACTAATTTAAAACAAGGCTTGCATTCATCTAGGACTCTACTTTAAAAGAATTCTTCTCATACATGCAAACAGTCCATTTTAAAGCAATCCTCTGTATTTATACTAGGACCTGGAAAAGAGCAAGGATCATCTAGGACACTCAGGAAATTATTTGCTTTATTCAACTGCCTTTTTATAGAATAAAATGTTTCTTTTAAACTCTGACTCCTTGCTAACTGGCAGAATGCTGTTGCCTCTGAAGGGGACATCAAGTATTATTTACAGTTCACAATATTGCTTCTCTTTGCATCCTATCTGACTTTAGCTAAACGACCAGAATCCTCAGAGAGACATCCTGCAAACAAAAAGTCCTTAGTAGGTGGGAGAAAGTCAGGCCAGAGGTCAAAGAGAACCGTCAGAAATGACAGAGAGGTGATATGATATTCTACAGCATCTCCTCGGGGAGGGACAGTAAACCACATGGCCCCGCTGAAACGCCGAGTTCACTCTCCTATCCTGGCAGTAAATCTTACATTTAGAAAAGGTTTCAGCCAGATCATTGCCTTTTTACATAAGAATCTCTTTTAAGAATTCACAAACATCTTCAAAGTGCACTGCTGAAAAGCATAAAAACTTAATAACCTACCATTTTCTTTGCACTCTTCTGGAGGTTTAGCCTTTTTCGCAAGTCGTGGATCCAGCCATGATGTTGTCTTTGTGTTATGGCTGAAAAGAAAAGAGATCACTCTGAAAAGACACATACTAAAAGGAATCAAGTTTATTCCTTAAGAAAAAAATAAGCCGGTTAGCCCAACAAAATTGCAATCGATACCCTTAATTTGCTTACTGGTCCTAAGCGGCCCTGAAGGAGGTGTAAGAGCAATTGTGCAAGGCGGCTGTAAATTTGGCAACCTCAGCTCCCTGTCCTCAAAGCAGCTATTTTTATTAAAATCAACTAGAATGTTGCCAAGTTAACCTCATTGAAAATGCAGAACTCATCCAGAGCGAAAAGAATTTATTACAAATACAGGATTCTCCAGTGGGGAGAGCAGAGTCCTTACGCTCTGACACTGTTTCCTGCCTTTTGCAGAAGCAGTATTTTCATCTTAAACCACGCTTTTCATAAACAATTGTTTTTGTTAGCTACAGAGCTGGCGGAGGCAGTACAAAAGTGATGCACATTACAGCATGTTCCTGGGATTCCTACATTTTCTCCAAAAGTGATTAATAGCAATTTCATTTACTCACATTAAGCTATCTTACTCCTAAATACTTTTATACCAGCCAGGAAGGCAGTAGATTAAAAAATGTCTGCATTCTAATTTTTGAAATGGAATTCTAGGAATGGAAAAAAAAAATCTCATTTAGGAAAAAAAAAATGTTTTCTTGTCCAGAAATCTATGATCAAGAGAAATGTTCCCAGAGGAGACTTTCTTAAAGGGGTGTTGGGTCCTTGTGTTGGGGTCACTTCGTGGACTTGTTAACAATATCTTCTGGGTCTTCCCTGAACTACCAAGTCCTGGGCTTTGTGGGGGAGAGGAAATATGATGTGTCTGGGGGGGGGGGGGCAGGTGGTTGGTACAAATCTCTGTCATTGATAAGCACCCCAGTGATGTTTAAGCATTATAATTCAAGGATTACTCAATTGCTCAGCTGGCCATTAGAAATAAAAAGTTGACTCCATACAGATGTATCCGGGGAGCTCATGGGACAATGGGCAAATAACCAGGAATTTAACATTTATGAAGGCCTAAGAAGAGAATACACAAAGTAACAGGTACTGGGAAGTGAGATTTACACAAGGAACGGTCAAATGAGCAATGAAAGAAAACACAAAAGAGTGAAAAAACAGGTTAAGTAGTTATAAGGCCCAGATCACAGCGTGCTTCAGTGGAGATGAGATCCGTGGAGATCAAGATGTTCAGGAGGACACACATTTTGTATATTTTTCTTTCTGGTTATAGCGGAGCCTCAGACATTAACTAGACCATCAGATGTACTGGAAGTAAAGATCAGAAAAATTTCCTACAGAGTACCATCATTAACAGAATCATGAAACTGTTTTCTATATCACAAAGGAGATTTCAAGCCAGGGCAAAGGGAGGGTGGAGCCAAGATGGCCTGTGGAAAGCCATCCTGTGCATCGAAGTATTCTTCAAGCAGCAGTTTCTAGATGGCCGTCCTTCGCCTGCTTTGAGAATAGTGTCCTACTTGGCTTTCCATTGCTGTGACAAATACTATGACCCAAAGCAGCTTTGGAGAAGAAAGGGTTTATTTGGCTTACATTTCTGTTATAGTCCATCATCCAGAGAAGTCACGGCAGGAGCTTGAGGCAGGAACTGAAGCAGAAACCATGAAGAAATGTTGCTTAGTAGCTTGTTCTCTGTAGTGCTCTCAGCCTGCTTTCTTATACATCAAGGACCACCTGCCTAGGGGTTGTACTGCTTCCAGCTGCCAGGGCCCTCCCGCATCAATCATTAATCAAGCAAATGCCCATAGAGCATGCTGATAGAAGTAAATCCTCAATTGAGGTTGTTCCCTCTTCCCAGGTGACTGTAGTTTATGCCAAGTTGACAAAAACACAACAAAAATCCTCAAAACTAACCAGCACACACATTAAGATCTGTGAGTTATGAAAATGCAGATCCTGAAGAAAATCCCCCTTTCCTTTTGCCATTCCTGTGAGGCAAGGAGAAAATATTGACTGTAACTTCCGTCAGCTGTATGAACTCTTCGGCAATAGATGCATCTGAATGGAACTCTAATAATTCAATCAGGTAATGCCTGTAATTTGACCAAAACATAAATCATCTAGCAAGTTTGCCAGCTTTTACTGTCCCCCAATTTGACGTCTGTGAAGTCTGGTGGTGCCGCATTACAAGTCAAGAGGATTGGAACTATTGTGGACATGTTCATCTGGTCCTAGCCAGATGTCAACGTAATCCATTCTTTTCCTCTGAATGGAGGTTGAGGTTTTGAATATCCCGAATGTGGGGATCAGAACACTGGCAGTAAGTGTGCCATTATTATTTCATAACAGAAGAGAACCACTTGCCTCAGTGAAAAGTACACGTGTCTGTGTGTGTCTATGTGTGTGTGTGGGGGGTGCACACATATGTGTTACCATCCATGTTTGTATCAGGTAGGGGAATACATTGGGAGGTAGGCAGGGGATAGAAATGTTCGCCTTTTGACCCACATTTGGCTTTTCTAAATTCTTTGTCCCTTTTGGAGAAAAGTAATTTCTAGGTTCTTTAGAAATATTCGTAAAAGAAAATCTATCTATGGATATGTATTAAGGGGCCATTAATGTGACTCCACAGGAGTCAAATTACCATTTCTAGACCACACTAGCTCAGTCTCAAATACTGGCTAATTTAGGAGAGAGCTGTGAGTGTCCCAGCTTTTCTGAGTTTATATAAAGCATTTCATTACAGAATGAATTTTTAGGTTGAACTAGAGTTAGCAGTGTGTCACTTTAATACATTTTGACAGATTGAGTCTCTTATAGTTAACAGTATTTTTAGCTGTTCTTCAGAAATGATTCTGAAAGAAATGTGGGTAGTAGTTACCTCCAGTAATTGTCTTAAACATCACATGAAGACACAGCACAGTATTTTTCAATAGTGGTTCTCAGCAGCTTGTAATTTGCATGCTCTTCCAAGATGTCTTACAAAGGGGATATTTTTAATGCATTTGGGAGACAACACACTAAATAGCTTTCCTTCTTCCCTTAAATTATGTATTTTAAACCTTAATAATTCCATTTGAGGATAGGATTTAATGTTGGGCAGGAAACCGCACAAAATGGAATCATTGAGAGTCCCCCCCCCCCCCCCCACCCCAATCTGAATGCTGTCTTTTCTCAAATTCAAGGAAGGCATTTCTTTTCACTTCCTTAGCTAGGGCAGATTCAGGTGCTTGGCATCAATTTTCTGTATCTATGCAAGATGTGTGCCACCAAAATGACATGAAAAGGAAATGCCAGTGCAGTATAATCTTGTCTGTGCTCTCCATAGATGGACCTATTCAGACTGCTTTAACTGAGGGGGACCTATTTAGGTTCCATTTGCAGAAACTGTTCTTATTCTAGCGGGTAAATGGAACATATATTCCAGGAGCTTTGAAGGACAGTAATGTCGTGATTTACATGTTACTGTAGATGAAGCTAAACTATCACAAAAAGCTATTCAGGTTCTGTTGATGTCATATTTAATAACCTTGATGAAAACCTAAAGCACATGGTTTGTCCTATATAGCTACCCCAAACTCTAATGTTAAACTATACACCGAGGACTATAATAAACCAGAACATTGAATTTCATTCAAATGTGCAATTCTAGTTTAAATTTGTAATAACACACACACACAGATTGACCTGCAAGTGGATTGGGAATACCCACACATCTTGTGAGCTTAACCTTTGCCAAGCTGATGAAACAGCAGGTTAAATAGCAACATCTTATCTTCTCACACAAAACTTCATGTTTCATGCTTCATGTCAACTGAGGAAGCTACCGACAGCCGCAGTCCTGTGTGCTGCAAAGCCACAGACACCGCCTCTCCCTTCTTACCTTTTGCTACTAAGCAGCCTTTGTGGCTAAAACCCATTTGGTCCATTTTTCAGATACAGAAACCCAGTTGACAGCCTCTGGGTGATGTGTCTGAGATTACGGCTAGTCCATGGACTGGAAAGGACTGGTGTAAACCCAGATCTAAGGGAATTGTATACCCAAGTGTTTTACCTTCTGAAAGAGGTGTGTGGTTTCTGTTTCTCCTTCCCTCCAGTGGTTATCAGGGATCTAGTCCAATCTTCTGCCAGTCATTTAGAAGAAAACTTTTCATACTGTCTGAGGGTTGTAATCACTAAATTCCCCTGAAAGGGCTGGTTGCCTTGTACTCAGCGGGCATTTGCTATATTAAATTGCATGTGCATGGAGGTGAAAGAGAGCACTGGGGGTGAGTAGGCACCAGTAACCCCACTAGGAAAATGTTCTTCCTACCAACTTCGATTCTCTAGTCAAGTCACTGGCAAATTAAATTTTATTTCTGCAAAGCAGACTTCCCCTCCTAGAGTAAAGCCCTTTAAAGAACTCATCTTTGTATAATTTGCATATGAATATTAGGTCTTGGGAGTCATAGCTAAGATTGTACTAAAATAATAGTTGGAGTTATAGCTCAGTGGTAAAGTGTTTGTGGAGAAGGTATAAAACCCTGGGTTCAATTCCATGCACTGTCAAAAAATTTAAGTTAATGAAAAAATGCTATTAACAGACACAGTATTCATTAGAAGCAAAACTTAAAATTTTCCTATAGTTCATACTATGCTTTCTCCCCCATTCCATATTTCTTACATGTCTTTTTTTTTTCTCCAGTAAGAATACAAACCCTGTTTTAAGGAATGAATCCTTAAGAGCAACTCATTAAAAACTGAATTTAAAGGCATGCTTTCCTTCCCATTCCCTTTCAGTTCAATTTCCTTCCTTTTATTCTGTATTTTTTTATATATCGTCACCTGGACCAAAACAATGCTTCCACTACTGGATGAATTTTGGAACTGTTTTCTTTTACAATTTAAATTTGATGAGTGTGCTAATGCAATGCTTCTTTCCATTTTCTAGAAAAAGATCAGCAAAGAATGAGTCAATAGTCACTGGAAATGATGGACATTCAGGTTTCAAAAGTACTCATTGTATAGATTCAGAATAAAAATATATAGACTGTTG